CTTTATATCTGTCTTTACCAAAGGAGTATATCCTGCCCAGGTCATGGTAAAACAATAAATTGCTGAATCCCTGGATTGGCTAAAAAATAAATTAAAGCAGAGCTTTTGGATAAGCTGTTTGTGCTTAAAGTTGGTAAGTTCTCAGGATCAGATAAAATGCGTCCAACATTCAAAGAGGCAGAGGAAATTAAAGACAGAACTTCAACAGGCACTGGTCATAATTTTTCAGTCCACCTTAGATATAGGACTGATACCAGAAGGTTAGAGAATTGCAAATGTCGCAATTCATATTGAACCTTCACAAATGGGCCATTTTCAGGTTGGCAACCTGTAACTAGTGGAGTGCCACAGGGATCAGTATAATTTCTGATACATATATATTAATGACTGGGAAGTGAATGTAATTGCCCCCAGTTTGTGGATGGCACAAAAATAAATGGAAGGATGATAAAGAAGGGTATAGATTATTGCTGAGCAGGTGCTGCTTGATAGCACTGTTGATGACACCTTCCATCACTTTACTGAAGATCGAGAGTAGACTGATGGGGTGATAATTGGCTGGGTTGGATTTGTCCTGCTTTTTACGTAGAGGACATATCTGGGCAATTTTCCACAGTGTTAGCTAAATGCCAGTGTTGTAACTGTATTGGAACAGCTTGGTTAGGGGAACGGCAAGTTCTGGAACACAAGCCTTCAGTACTGTTGCCAGAATGTTGTCAGGGCCTGTAACCTTTGCAGTATCCAATGTCTCCAAATATTTCTTGATATCACATAGAGTGAATCAGATTGGCTGCCGACTGGCACCTGATGCTGGAGACCACTGGTGGAAGCCAAGATGGATCATCCTCTCGGCACTTCTGGCTGAAGATTGCTGTGAATGCTTCAGCCTTATATTTTGCAGTGATGTTTTGGGCCCTTCCATCATTAAAGAAAGGGATATTTGTAGCACCTCTTTCTCCACTGATATGTTTCATTTCCTACCACCATTAATGACTGGATGTGGCAGCACTGTAGATCTTAGGTCTGATTCATTGGTTGTGGGGCTGCTAAGCCCTGTTTATCACTTGCTGCCTATGCTTTTTGGCGTGCAAGTAGTTTTATTTGGTAACTTCCGATGGTTAACACCTCATTTTCAGGTATGTCTGATGCTGCTCCTGGCATGTCCTCCTGCACTCTCCATTGAAGTGAATGGAGCAAAAGTGAATGGGTAAAAACTTGGTAGATGGAATATAATGTAGGAAAATATGAGGTAGTGCATTTTAGAAGGAAGATTAATGGAGCTGAAAATTATTTAAATGGAGGAAGACTGCAGAAAGCTGCAGCAGAGAAAAATTCGCATGAATCATAAAAACTAAGCATATAGGTTCAGCAGGCAATAAGGAAATCAAATGGAATATTGGCCTTTACTTCAAAGGGAATGAAATATAAAAATAGGGAAATCTTCCTAAAATTACACATGGTGCTAGTTAGACCACACCTAGAACACGCTGGATACTTTTGGTCCCCACACCTAAGGAAAGATATACTTACATTAGAGGTAGTCCAGAGAAGGTTCACTAAGTTGATTCTAGGCATGGATAGATTTTCTTAAGAGGCTGAGTGGTTTGGGCATTTATTCATTGGAATTTCAAAGAATGAGAGATGACATTATTGAAATATATAAAATTCTTAGGGGCTTGACAGGGTAAATGATAAGAGATAGTTTGCACACTTGGGAGAGTCTGGGATCAAATGGCATAACTTCACTGTAAGGGGGTCACCCATGCAAGGTGGAGTCGAGGAGGAATTTCTTGTCAAAGGATAGTGAATCTGTAGAATTCTTTATCGCAGAGGTTGGGTTGAGTCATTAAGTATATTTAAGACTGACTACATGAAGAATTCAGAGTTTATGGGGCAAAGGCAGGAAAATGGTGTGGAAAATTATTAGATCAGCCTTAATCTAAGTGATTGGCAAAGCAGACTTTATTGCCCACCTAGTCGGTTCCTGCTCCTGAGCTTTATGGTCTTATGGTATTGCTCTGTAAAGACTGTAAGAATACACCCATCAATGAAAGATCAATCAATTTAATTTCAGGATGGGATTTTTAGGAATGATAATTCGTAATAGTATTGACAGTCACTCGGGCAAATGTGGATTCATTAAAAACAGCCAGCACAAATTTAAGGACAAATTCTGTTTGACTAACGTGTTTGAATTCTTTAATATAATAATGGAGGCATCGATGAGGCCAGTCTGGCAGATTAGGGTGCTCATGTACTTCCAAAATGCATTTGATGAACGGCCACATAACACATTTTTCAGCAAAGAAAGAGCTCATGAAATAAAGGAAGCAGTAACAACAGGGATCTGACATTTGCTGAGCCATAGAAAACTGATAGTAATAATGAGTAATTTATCTGTCAAGAAGAAAGTATATAATTGGGATTCACCAGAAGTCAGGTTTAGAACACCTGCTTTTCTTTAACTGTTCTGATGATCTAGATTCAGCTATGTAGGGCACAGTTTCAAAATTTGGGAAAACTCAAAATGTGCAATTATTGTAGACTATTTATAAATCCCAGATTTAGCATTGGAGGATACTGTTAGATTTCAAAAGGACACAGTGTAATCAAATGCAGAGAATCATGATGCAATTTACTTTGGTTGGAAGAATGGGAGTGGCAATGTAAGATAAAGGGTACACTTTGAAACGAGATGCAGGAGCAAAAGGAACTAGTGGTATAAGTTAACACAGTAGGGGCAGATAAGAAAATGTTTAATAAAGCATTCATGCTTCTGGGATTTATAAACGTGGACATAGAGTGCTAAAGCAACTAAATTATGATAATTCTGCATAAAACACTGCTTTAATCTCAACTGGAGTATTGGAGTAGGAAAATGCAAAAGCATTAGAGAGACAACAGAAAAGGTTCACAAGAATCGTTCCAGGAATGAGAACTTCAGTAACGTGCATCGACTGGAGAGGCTGGAGTTGTTCTTTTTGGAGAACAGAAAGTTAAGAGAAGGCTTGATAAAGATATTAAGAATTATGAGGATTCTGGACAGATTGGACAGGGAGAAAATGGTTTAGTTTGTGGAAGGATCCAAGACTGAAAACACTAATTCAAGGTGCTGGGCAAAGGAAGCAATGACAACACAATGAAAAGTTTTTTTTTAACACAGTGAATGATTAGGAGGTAAAATGCACTGACTAGGAATTTTGTGGGTCAGATTCAAGTGAGGTCTTCAAAAGAGAAATTTGTCAATTGCCTGAAGAGAAACAATTTACGGTGCTACTCGAAAATGCAGGAGAATGGAACTAGGTGCTTTGTTCTTGCTAAGCGTCAGACTGGATATAATGGAGCAAAAGGACTCCTATATTGTAACAAATCTATTAATGTATGATTTCATTTATGATGCCTGACTTCCTAGTCATTATATAACTTCTTATATGTGTAGCAAGTTGAGTGCTCATATTTTCTGCCTTTGTTACCATCTATATCCCATTGCCAATGCTCTTTAACTCAGCCGCAGTAAAACATGAAATATGCTGCTGAAAGAAAGCTACGAGAAAAAAAAACCTGTTAGGCCAATCCAGTTTGCCATCAATCATTTTTTTAAAGCTCTCAACCTACAGTCTTTTTTACATTGTTTACTCGTCTCCAAACCAGATTCTTTTAATATTTTTGCCAAATCAAAGAATCCAAGTTAAATTAAAATTGCTTTGTCTTTGCATTAAAGCATTGTGGAGCACTTCCATTTGTTTCTTGTTCATCTGCATTTCACTGATAGTGGCATGATGCAGTTTAAACTGATTGAGTAGAGCAAGAGACCTTTGTGGCTAAAAGTGATTCATATTTATGAACATTCAGTAAAAGTGCTTCTGGAACCACAATTCTTTTAATTTAATATACAAAAGAATGAGTACCAGGGTGCCAGCCTTAGCTAGGTCGGGGTGGAGGTTAGATAGACCTTAGGATTAGGGTAAAAGTTCGGCACAACATCGTGGGCCGAAGGGCCTGTACTGTGCCGTACTGTTCTATGTTCTATGTTCTATGTTCTCCTCTGACTCAGAACAACATGGCTTCAAATTCAAATTCAGAGACTTCAGCAGACAGTCCGGGTTGTCACTTCGGTGCAATGCTGATCAAATGAGGCACTGGTAAAACAACACCCTCTTATGAGTGTGATATTCAGTCAAGGTTCTTATGCCCTCCCACATAGATGTAAAAGATTCCATGATGCTTTATGAAGAGCACTAGAGTGTCCTGCCCCATATTAATCACACAGACACTAATGACAAATTAAACTTTATTTGTTTTGTTAGTGTTTGCCAAAACTAGTGCCTTCAGCTTGCATGGTGGTTCCCCACTAGCTTGGCCAATTTTGCAGAAGTGGTATGACAGAGTAGCTGGGCTACCTGCTCACACTCATTAAATATCCCATTTGACTTTTAAGTGCCACTTAAGACCAAATAACGGAGGCTGAATTGGATTTTCTAGTCAGGTTTCAAGTTCTAGGAGGTGGTCCAGTTTAGCCTTATAGGCACAGTTTTCCTGCTGTCGAGGGAGGCAGTGCCAGCCAGGTTGAGATACCTGCTTGGGCTCTGCAGCATGTGCTGGTCACCCAGTGGAGGACCTCTGCCCACTTTCTTGAACCCAGCCTTACTAATCCAAAAGTGATAACCCATAGAACAGAAGATGCCTTCATTGTGAAGCTTTTTCTCAATCACACCTGCCATTGCATCTTGCTGCCGGTTTTGAGATTGGAAAGCTCTAATTCCCTGACTCTCGAGAAAATCGCATTGGAGGACTGTTCCTGCACATGATGCAGTGGTTCCCAGCTGAACCTGAATGCACAGTTCAGAAGTTGGCATGGAAAATCGTACCTCTTATGTACACATTGGCTACTGCATCTCCACACATAACAAAGTGGCTACATTTTAAAGTAATAACTTACTGTGAAGATATCCTAAGTTTGTGATAAAGCATTAAAAGTAAGTTTTTTTTTGTCTTTACAGAGCGTCAAACCAGTTAATTTATTAAATCCACATGCTGTAGCTGTTGTGTTAAATGAGCAACCTGGCAAACTACGAATTAAAGATCTGCGAAATGGTAATTCAGTCAGAAGCATTATTATTGTCACATTAACCTCTTTAAGTACCAATAAAAGTAATTATTTTGTCATGAGTATCAAACACTAATTCTTTATCTATTGAATGGACATAAGAAGCTGCTGTGAACTTGAATCCAAATTGTTCCACAAGCCTTTCGTTCAAGCTCTGTCAATTGTTTTCTCAATAATTCTTCAGTAAACTGCAGCTTATCCAAAATCCTGCTGCTGTTTCTTATCCAACTCTAAATCCTGTTCATCTACCATCAGTGTCCTTTCTGACCAATTATATTGGCGCTCATTTAAACTTCTTATCTCATATTGTATTGAACTTATAATATATATCACTGTTAGGTCTATTTGTGATTGATATTTCCATTTTGTAAACATAATTAATATTTTATAATTGCACTGTCACATTTATCAAATAATTATCATTTAAACCTTGAGAAAACATTTTTCATACCTAGTTGAGTGTTATAGTGGTGTAATGGTGCACCTTCTTGTTTGATTCCCTAAGGAATAATGCTGACAAGCTCTCATACTTACACCAATATCCATTCTTGAGCATTAACAAATTATTAGACATGGCATAAGCATGACATTTATGATGCTTATGATCTTTCTCCCCAAATTTTAAAACTTTTATCTCTTTTTTTCTCAAGTCTTGACTAACATTCAAGGAGCATCAAAAAGCAGACAGGCAAAAGAAGCAATGTTCAACCAAAAAGTCAAAAAAGATGTGATGATGGAACGAGCTAACCAATTACGATGGTAAGTAAAAGACAAAATTGCAATACTACACAGGTATTTTTAAAATTTATTTGGTAATCTGATGTGCCCTTCATGTAGATAGACAGTCCATGTTAAGTATTGAACCTTGCAGTGTAATTTCACTTTAACGTTGCTAAGTTATTTGGGTCAGGAATCTTGCTGAATGTTACAAGGTTTGTTTCAAACATTCTTCACTGCAGTACCTTACATTACACGATTGGCAACACTTTAGAACAATCTCTTCCTCATTCGAACTTAAGGCTTCTGGCAGTGCTCTTCACCAGGAATCTCCCATTGACTAGCCTCCAGACTGCCCACTGCACCTGCTGTTTTCACCAGACCACACTGCCATCTGATAGTAACTCCCCGAAAGGCTGCCCAGGCTACCAGAGACTGCTGGGTCTATGTGGAGATGATGTAGCCACCCCAACTGCAGCTCATAGCTGGCTGAACAATGCATAGGGAAGTACCAACTCTATTTGGAAGCCATAACCACACCATTCAGGGAATGGATGGACAAAGCCCTACTGACAGTCATGAGGAGCTGCACCACCAACTGGTGGCTGAGCAGGTCCCAGAGCATCAGCAGCCAGAAGAAAGGCATCAGGACCCCGCAGAAAAATGCCACCAGGCATCAGCCAGAAACATGTGATGGGCCCAGCAGAAAACCTGGAAACTCAAGAGCAAATGCACACTGGCACAGACCCCAAGCAATCCTGCCTCCACCCAGCCTTACCCCACTTGTTGGGATCAACCACACGAGGTACTGTAGACAGGATTTACATTTTTCTTTTCTATATTAGACTTATTACATTTCAACAGTTATTCCATTTACCAAAGTACCGAACTGTATTTCAATTTGGGAAGTACAGGTATAATGTTTCACTTTTTCTCTGCTGAAAAAGGCAATAGAGAACCAACTCCAGTTTAAACATTGATTCGTACAGGAATTGATGTTTCAATGAAAGTTGTTTTCACATAAAGTTGTAATTTTAATGAATTTACTCCCAATTTTGATGAGGGCTCCCTATTAATTTGTTTTTCTTAATTCTGTGTATTGGATACTATGGTATTCTACATGCTCGATATTTTAACTTGGAAGTATTTAGTTTAATAGGCAAAGGTCTATTTACTGATCTCTCCAAGAAAGCATTATGATTTCCAGCTTGTTTGAAGTTGACATTATGCATGTTTTCCTCTCTTATTTTTAGGCAGACACACCTTGGTAAAGATCCAGTCTCTGCCGAGGCTACGCAGTTGATTCTGGAAAATAGGCAGATAGCAGACAAGGAATACAAGGTTTGAAGTGATTTCAAACTGTATATTTAAATTTAACAGCATCCATTTGAGCAGTGCCAACTTTTTTATTGCTGTAATATGTCTGAGTGACACATCGAGAGATAATATATTTTACAAAGGTAAAATAAGGAAAGGAAGGATCCATTCAATGGAATGTGGAAGGGTCCCTACAAACTGAAGAACTTGGGAATTTGAACTTCCTGAAAGTACAGGTGCAAATTGATTAAGAAATACAAAATTAACAGCATTAATCAAAGAATGAAGTCAAAAAGTACTGTGAAATAGGAGTGGTAGATAGGATGATGTGCACCTTTAGACAGCTCATTTTGTGAAGGATGGTAAAACCATAGAGAGCATGCACCTTATTTTCATTGAATTATCAGAAATGGTGAACTATTGTTCTGAGAAGAAATTGAATTTCTAAGTCTGTGAAAGGTTTTGGCAAGTGAATGTGGTAGGAGTATTTCTTTTGGTTGGGAAATCAATGATAAGGATACGCAATTTAAAATCATGACAAGGAATGAACAAAGTATGAAGACAATGCATTTTAATGCTGGAGGATTTCCCAGTCTGGAACATTTTGTCATAGAGTTATTGAGACAGAAACAATTGCATCATCAAGGGAAATGTGGGCAAGAACAAAGAAAACAAAGAACAAAGAAAATTACAGCACAGGAACAGGCCCTTCAGCCATCCAAGCCTGTGCCAATCCAGATCCTCTATCTAAACCTGTCACCTATTTTCCAAGGATCTGTATCCCTCTGCTCCCTGCCCATTCATGTATCTGTCTAGATACATCTTAAATAACGCTATCGTGCCCGCCTCTACCACCTCTGCTGGCAACGCGTTCCAGGCACCCACCACCCTCTGCGGAAAGAACTTTCCACGCATATCTCCCTTAAACTTTTCCCCTCTCACCTTGAAATCGTGACCCCTAGTAATTGAGTCCCCCAATCTGGGAAAAAGCTTCTTGCTATCCACCCTGTCTATACCTCTCATGATTTTGTAGACCTCAATCAGGTCGCCCCTCAACCTCCGTCTTTCTAATGTAAAAATAATCCTAATCTACTCAACCTCTCTTCATAGCTAGCGCCCTCCATACCAGGCAACATCCTAGTGAACCTCCTTTGCACCCTCTCCAAAGCATCCACATCCTTTTGGTAATGTGGCGACCAGAACTGTACGCAGTATTCCAAATGTGGTGGAACCAAAGTCCTATACAACTGTAACATGACCTGCCAACTCTTGTACTCAATACCCCGTCTGATGAATGAAAGCATGCCGTATGCCTTCTTGACCACTCTATCGACCTGCGTTGCTACTTTCAGGGTACAATGGACCTGAACACCCAGATCTCTCTGTGCATCAATTTTCCCCAGGGCTTTTCCATTTACCACATAGTTCGCTCTTGAATTGGATCTTCCAAAATGCATCACCTTGCATTTGCCTGGATTGAACTCCATCTGCCATTTCTCTGCCCAACTCTCCAATCTATCTATATTCTGCTGCATTCTCCTACAGTCCCCTTCAATATCTGCTACTCCACCAATCTTAGTGTCATCTGCAAACTTGCTAATCAGACCATCTATACCTTCCTCCAGATCATTTATGTATATCACAAACAACAGTGGTCCCAACATGGATCCCTGTGGAACACCACTAGTGACAGTTCTCCATTTTGAGAAACTCCCTTCCACTACAACTCTTTGTCTCCTGTTGCCCAGCCAGTTCTCTATCCATCTAGCTAGTACACCCTGGACCCCATGCGACTTCACTTTCTCCATCAGCCTACCATGGGGAACCTTATCAAACGCCTTACTGAAGTCCATGTGTATGACATCTACAGTCCTTCCCTCATCTATCAACTTTGTCACTTCCTCAAAGAATTCTATCAAGTTGGTAAGACATGACCTTCCCTGCACAAAACCATGCTGCCTATCACTAATAAGCCCATTTTCTTCCAAATGTAAATAGATCCTATCCCTCAGTATCTTCTCCATCAGCTTCCCCACCACTAACATCAGGCTCACCGGTCTATAATTACCTGGATTATCCTTGCTACCCTTCTTAAACAAAGGGACAACATTAGCAATTCTCCAGTCCTCCGGGACCTCATCCATGCTCACAGATGGTGCAAAGATATCTGTTAAGGCCCCAGCTATTTCCTCTCTCGCTTCCCTCAGTAACCTGGGATCGATCCCATCCGGACCTGGGGACTTGTCCACCCTAATGCCTTTTAGAATATCCAACACTTCCCCCCTCCTTATGCCGACTTGACCTAGAGTAATCAAACATCTATCCCTAACCTCAACATCCGTCATGTCCCTCTCCTCGGTGAATACCGACGCAAAGTACTCATTAAGAATCTCAATCATTTTCTCTGACTCCTCGCATAACTTCCCTCCTTTGTCCTTGAGTGGGCCAACCCTTTCTCTAGTTACCCTCTTGCTCCTTAAGTATGAATAAAAGACTTTGGGATTTTCCTTAACCCTGTTTGCTAAAGATATTTCATGACCCCTCTTAGCCCTCTTAATTCCTCGTTTCAGATTGGTCCTACTTTCCCAATATTCTTCCAAAGCTTCATCTGTTTTCAGTCGCCTAGACCTTATGTGTGCTTCCTTTTTCCTCTTTGTTAGTCTCACAATTTTACCTGTCATCCATGGTTCCCGAATCTTGCCCTTTCTATCCCTCATTTTCACAGGGACATGTCTGTCCTGCACTCGAATCAACCTCTCTTTAAAAGCCTCCCACATATCAAATGTGGATTTACCCTCAAACAGCTGCTCCCAATCCACATTCCCCAGCTCCTGCCGAATTTTGCTATAGTTGGCTTTCCCCCAATTTAGCACTCTTCCTTTAGGACCACTCTCGTCTTTGTCCATGAGTATTGTAAAACTTATGGAATTGTGATCACTATTCCCAAAGTAATCCCCTACTGAAGCTTCAACCACCTGGCCGGGCTCATTCCCCAACACAAGGTCCAGTATGGCCCCTTCCCGAGTTGGACAATTTACATACTGCTCTATAAAACCCTCCTGGATGCTCCTTACAAATTCTGCTCCATCTAAACCCCTAACACTAAGTGAATCCCAGTCAATGTTGGGAAAATTAAAATCTCCCATCACCACCACCCTGTTGCTCCTACATCTTTTCATAATCTGTCTACATATTTGTACCTCTATCTCATGCTTGCTGTTGGGAGGCCTGTCGTACAGCCCCAACATTGTTACCGCACTCTTCCTATTTCTGAGCTCTGCCCATATTGCCTCACTGCTCGAGCCCTCCATAGTGCCCTCCTTCAGCACAGCTGTGACATCCTCTTTGACCAGTGGTGCAACTCCTCCACCTCTTTTACCTCCCTCTCTATCCCGCCTGAAGCATCTATATCCTGGGATATTTAGTTGCCAATCTTGCCCTTCCCTCAACCAAGTCTCAGTAATAGCAATAACATCATACTCCCAGGTCCTAACCCAAGCCCTAAGTTCATCTGCCTTACCTACTACACTTCTCGCATTAAAACAAATGCACCTCGGACCATCTGTCCCTTTGCGTTCATCACCTGCTTTCTGCCTACTCTTCCCCTTTGTCACACTGACTTCATTATTTAGTTCCTTACAGGCTTTAGTTACTACCTCCTTACTGTCCACTAACCTCCTCATTTGGTTCCCATCCCCCTGCCACATTAGTTTAAACCCTCCCCAACAGCGTTAGCAAAAGCACCTCCTAGGACATTGGTTCCAGTCCTGCCCAGGTGTAGACCGTCTGATTTGTAATAGTCCCACCTCCCCCAGAACCGGTCCCAATGTCCCAAAAATCTGAACCCCTCCCTCCTGCAGCATCTCTCAAGCCACTCATTTACCCTGCCTATTCTTTCATTTCTACTCTGACTAGCATGTGGCACTGGTAGCAATTCTGAGATTACTACCTCTGAGGTCCTACTTTTTAACTTGGCTCCTAACTCCCTAAATTCTGCTTGTAGGACTTCATTCCGTTTATTACTTATATCATTGGTGCCTATATGCACCACGACAGCTGGCTGTTCACCCTCCCTCTTGAGAATGTCCTGCAGTCGATCTGAGACATCCCTGACTCGGGCACCTGGGAGGCAACATACCATTCGGGAGTCTCGTTTTCGACCACAGAACTGCCTGTTTACTCCCCTTACAATCAAATCCCCTATGACTATAGCCCTTCCACTCTTTTTCCCGCCCTTCTCTACAGCAGAGCCAGCCACGATGCCATGAACCTGGCTACTGCTGCCTTCCCCTGGTGAGCCATCTCCCCCAACAGTATCCAAAACGGTATACCTGTTTTGGAGGGAAATGACCACAGGGGACACCTGCACTGCCTTCCTGCTTTTTCTCTGCCTTTTGGTCACCCATTCCTTTCCTCCCTCAGCAATCCTAATCTGCGGTGTGACCAATTTGCTGAACGTGCTATTCACGATTTCTTCAGCATCGCGGATGCTCCAAAGTGAGTACATCCGCAGCTCTAGAGCCATCATGTGGTCTAACAAGAGCTGCAACTGGACACACTTCCTGCACGTGTAGGAGTCAGGGACATCAGCCGCGTCCCTGAGCTCCCACATTGAGCAAGAGGAGCATAACACTGCCCAAATATATCAGTTCCCAGAGCACAATTCGACCGGTCCCACTCAGCTCCACTGCCAAAATGAATAACTTACCTTCCCGGCAGCCCCCCGGTCCTCGCTCTCACCGCTCCCGCTGCTGCTGCAAAAAAAGATGAGGTTGCATAATTAGGCAGTGGGATAGGGCAGTGGAACTTTTCGACTACAATTGCAAAGAGCAGCAGTATAGACAAAATGCAGGAAGAAATCCAATACTAATTCACTGGTTTATTTATTGTGTAATTAAAAAATATTTGGGTGGTGACAGCCTGAAAGGCTAGCGCTCCAAATTGGCAGCTTCAACTTTTAGATGTGCATTGAGTCCAACTGTTATGAGGACATCAAATACAAACTTGGACTGGTTATATGGCTA